TATAACTGATGGAAAATAAAATAAATCTTTATCATATATATATACATACAATAATTAAACAGTTGGTTGACTGAATAATGAATTCGACGAGATGTTATAAGATTATTCACATACCTAAATTAATTTAGGTTAGCATATGGTGAAGTAAAACGAACTCAAATCCCTACAGATATTATGTACATTTCACCATTATAAGAAGCCTAATGGCAGGTGGTCTGCTGACCCAAGCTGTGCTGAATAGGCGAAACTACAGTCCACAGCAGAAGGTATGGGCAATCAAAGAATCCATTCGACCTTTAGGTCACAGATTCTCTTTTTTAATTTTACCTCTGGTGAAAAAGGAAATAAATCTTTCACACACACACACACACACATACACAACCACACACACACACACATACATATATATATATATATTAGGGATGCACAGGTAGTAAAATTTGGCCGAATACCGGGTCCGAGTACCTGTCACTAAGCTTCGACAGGGGCCAGGTTCTCCCCTCGCCCCCTCCCAAAATAACATGCACAGAAATTAGAAACAAAGACAAAACTGGCGTTTATTACATTTAACCGAATAATCATCAACAGAACATTCAAGTTTTACTATGAAATTTCAATTCCTATACCCAACTTTTCAAACCCTAACCCCTATTGTTCTCCATAAATCCAATTCTCAAGCCTGCCTGTATTAACCCTTATTGTTCTCTGAATCCCCGACTTTCAGCGGCCGATCAGTCTTTGTTGCTCAGAACACGTTTTTTTTTGTTTTGTTTTTTAATTAAACCAATTATTGACTGTAACTTTCAGTACCGAGCAAGTTGCCACAAAGATTAAGGCATAAACGCCATTTTCAATTACCCAGAGTATTACCGGGAAGTTCAATACCCGGCCGAGTACCTGTGCATCCCTAACATATATACATATAGGGAATCACGAAAATAGTATCGCGTTTTGGAACACTTTCATTAACCACCCCCAAAAAACTTATATCACGTTTAATAGTTAAACGAACCACCTAAACGTCGCGATAATGTAGCCTATATAATGTGTAAAGTTTAGCATACTCTAATCCCTTATAGTGATGACACACGATGAGACACACATTCGGCATGTAATGATGTTTAATTACAAGAAGGTAAACAACGCCTCTGTAGCCACAAAGAATATCAAAGAAGTTTATGGAAAT